GCCGGAGCTGGAACCGGAGCCGGAGCCGGAGGGAGAGCGGGATCCTGCCCGGGTGCCACCTGCCAGGAGAGGAGGAGGCTGACGAGCGCGCTGGAGCAATTTATAGGCACCCAAAAGCGCAGGGGAAAGGGGAGCTGCTTTGGCATCTCATTCCAGCATCTGCTCTGCTCTTCCCACTCACAGAGAGTTTGGCATTACTCTGGCAGTGTGGGAAATATATATATTTTTTTTTTTCCCTCTCTCCCTCCCCCACCCCTCCCGCAAACGGATGAACAGCGAAATCGTGAGCCTCACTCACTAGCTGCATCTTGCGATGACAGCTCTTTCTGGAGCAAACCAAAAGGAAGAGATGTGTTTAGAAGCCTCTGGGTACCCTTCAGGTCACCGATCGAGAATTAAAAGGTCAATCCACCTCCTGCTTAACGCTTCCCTGAGGCTACCCTGCCTTATTAGTGTTTTCTGGGAAGTACCGCTTTAAATGTAGGGATGCTTTACAGTTACCGATTGTCCAAGTGGAAGTTATTTGAAAATATACCTCCCACCTCGCACAGTAATAGAGATTAGCATCTCTCACAATTTCGGATCTCCCTCTTCCCCCCTCCCCGATTACCACTATAAAGGCATAGAAGGAAACAGTTCTTTCTGTGAATTAAAATTGACATACTCATCACCGGGTGCGGTGTTTCCCGGTGTTAAAGCCAGCCACCGCGTTGCTAGCAAGCTGACACCGAGGAAAAGAGTTCCCTTTTGTTTACAAGCCGAAGGAAAGTGCGGGATCAACAGATGCCTGGACCTGAGGACAAGGTCTCCCTGGCTTAAGTCGGGGGCAGCAAAGCACTTTGTTACTTCATGGGGTTTTATTCTTTTTTTTTTTTTTTTTTTCCCCCCCCCCCCCCCCCTCCTTTTTGTGTGTGTGTGAAAGGTTTCTTCTCCTCCAAGGGCTGCTGGGCACCTCTGTGACTGAGTGAGAAGGTGAATGTGCAATATTAGTGGCATTTCTCCCAGGAAAATATTAAAGAACTTGTCCTGCTCACAGATATACAAGGTACACAAAGAGCTGTTTAAATAAACAAACAGAATTGATTCCTAAATCATACTTCTGTATTCAGGAGCAATGGACGTCAATCAAACGTGGGTGACATTTGCCTGTCAATACAGGGATGATGGCTGGAAAGAGAGTAACAGCAAGGCAAGAATCCGAAATGAGCAACAGCGGCAAATAGGACAACAACCAAATAATAGCATCTCCAGCGATGATCAGAGGGCTGTGATCTTGTCTTGGATTTTATTAGCACGAATCCCCTCTCCCATCACCCGTTCTCTTTTCTTTCTTTTCTATTCCACAACACAATAAGGTCAAACAAGCAGGCACTGGGAAACAAAGATTCATTGATTCTTCCTTTTAAGCAGAAATGTCAGCAGCTTCTTTTGCTCTTTCCTGAGAGACTCAAAGGCAGTGAGTGTGTCCACGCCGCGTAGAGATGGGCCAGCCCAGCTTCTTATCTCCCCAGAAAACTCCCGATAAAGCTTCCATTTCCCACACTTGTAAATATCCCTCCCTACCCTACTCTCTTTCTCTCTCTTTCTTTCTTTTTCTTTCTTTCTTTCTTTCTTTCTTTCTTTCTTTCTTTCTTTCTTTCTTTCTTTCTTTCTTTCTTTCTTTCTTTCTTTCTTTCTTTCTTTCTTTCTTTCTTTCTTTCTTTCTTTCTTTCTGTCTTTCTTTCTTTTTTCTTTCCTCTAATGCTCTGTCTTAAAAAAAAAAATTCTTTATCTGGTACTGGCACAAGCTAGCCAGTTCCCTCAGCTAAGGGCTTCCCCTCAAGACCGGGGAAGGCAGCTGAACACGCTTGAAGGTTTATGTTCGTATCTCGTCGCTCTCTGCCCCCCATAGGAAAGGGCTTTCAGCACTGCTCTTTCGTCTGGGCAGGAAAAAAAAAGAAAACTTGTGCTGAGTGACAGGTCTGTCTCAGCCTGTAGCTGGGCCCTTGAGGCATTGTATTTAGTCATCCCTGACCCAGGCGGTTTTCGGGACATTGGGATGTGCGTAAACCTCCATTGCAACGGCAGGGTTACGCATTGGGAAAATAGCAAATCTCCTACCTTCAAACAGTCACAAACTTATCGTGGTCTGTCCGGCCATAGTGATGCTGGGTGACTTGTTGGCACCAAGCACACCCTCAGTTCCTTATGCCAGTTGTGACAAGTCAGATTTTTAAAGCGAGGTCCTACCATCTGAACCACATTTGCCTTCTTAATAGACAGTTTTATCCTCATGCATATTGCCAAGAATGCTCATTCCCTCTAGACTCTTGCAGACTTTCTACCAAAGAAGACCTGTGAGCCAGCTGCAAAAACCCCAGCCTGAGTGTGCAGAATAGAGAGAAGAGGGCAAGTCCTGGTGCTGGGTTGTCAGCGGAGCTTGTGTGTTAGCTGGGAACCTAACCTGGGACCTTGGATGCCAGACCAGTGCTTCAGTTACTAGGTTATCCTTGGTTCCCAAGGAAAAAATGTATTTTCCAAGGAAACTAAGAATGGAAAGCTGAAGGGCTCAGAAGTTATGCACTGGAGGTCACAGCAGTCTGGAGCAAAGTTAAAGGCAATGTAGAAGCCCCTTTTTAAGCATGGGACCTTGTTTTCCTGAAGTGGTATGTCAAAGCATTGATTTGTTGTAATTAAGGCTTGGGTAGCATTTATGTTATAATATAATCTCCCCTCCATGCTAAAGGCTAATGGTCAAGACTGACAGTCCATTCTTAATATAACCATCGTGCCTACATGAACTGCTGCCAGTCTTAACGTATTAAATTTCTCTGTATTTTCAAAGCCCTCTCGCAGGCTTTCTCCAGCCTTCCAGACTGTTTTCTTCCCTCCCTGTTCTCTGGGCCTTTACGCATTCAGACCCGCAGTTGGTGTTCGAGCTGTCTCCCCTGCAGCTTCTGCCATTTGAAACAGCCTGCCCACAGCTCTTTTCCTTACTGACTAATTAGTTAATGTTCATACAGAGCCTTAAAGATGTACAGCATAACATGCACATTCATTTTACCTGTGTGCCGTTGCCTCAGCACTAAGATAGGGAAAAACTGAAGAAAACTGAGTAAGAAGGTGTCCACCGGCACACAGGGGAACATGTTGTGCAGTCGCCAGGCACAAAATGGCTCCTTACGCTAAATTCAAAGGGTTAGCCCAGGAAAAAACCCTGTGTGAGAAAGGGCAACCCTTTACCAGCTGCAGTGAGCAAGAGTAACATGGAAACAGGCACACACCGAACAAAGGAGTGTTGGGATGCTGTGCCAAGTTCCATACTGCTTCTGCTCACTCCTATCTGCATCTGTTTTGCTCTTGCTTATATTTTAACTCTTTTAAAAATTATTTTAGAGACGCGTTTTGAATTTCAGTCGGCTCGAAAATTAAGGCTTTGCTGCACTGTACCTTCATATACACTGGTTTAACTATGTATGCAAAAGTTAGCATTACCACCTGGACACCAGTGGTATGGTCAAGGAACAACATGCACTCACTCCAACAAGTAAGCGGGTCCAATGCTACAAAAGAAAATGATATTGTAAATGGTGTGAAACTATCCATATCAGTTTAAACGGCTCGCAGGTACCATGGTGACATGGTGGTGACACCTTTGCTGCTATCCTAAACCATTCCTGGTGTCCTATTGCAGTTCTGTTCACCCAGTTTGCTGAAATTTCAGGGCTGGCACACGTGTCAGACAATAGGTCCTGGAAAGTTACAGACTCCTGCACCACTTTTTTTGGTAGAAGCTCATACAGGCAGCACTAAGTAAATTCTCCTAGGAACTTGTTTTGGTCAGCATGACTGAAGACCATCTGTATTTACAGTGGTGCAAGTTGCCCACTGCGTTCTTTCATAAAATTGAAGTTTTCATGCTCTTGGAAGGAAAATCAGCTTCGGTGTACAAGAGAAAAAAATTGTTTTGCTGATTTTTT